TCCTGCCTCAGCCTCCCAAGTGCTGGGATCACAGGCCCACACCACTAGGTCAAGCTTGATCCTTTTATTTTTTGAGGCAGCGTCTCTTTCAGTTGTCCAGGCTAGATTCAAACTTGCAATCCTCTTGCCTCAGCAAGATCATGTGACCTGTTACTATTTGTTTCAAATCTGATTAAATATATAATTAGGCATAAACAGTGGCTTGATCTACCCAAGGTCTACCCAAGCTCCCGAACCACATCTGAACTGTAAGAATTTAATTTTATTATTACATTCATTTTCTGGCATTTACATAGCCTAGCTGTTTGTTGTGGCCAAGCTTAATGTATGTGTATCTATCTCTGTCTTCCCAGATCTAATTCAGAACCAACTGTGGCAGCTACGTAGATGGTGACCTGGCCAGGCCTTGGGACTCATGTATCTGGCAACAGTGTAAATGGTGCTGTGGGCCAGAGGTGGATTGTACACCTGTGATCCTAGAACTGGGGAAGCTGAGGCAGGAGGATTGCTGCGAGTTCGAGACCAACCTGGGTTACAAAGTGAGTTCAAGCCCAGCCTGAACTGCATAGTGAAACTGTCTCAAAATGATATATAAATAAATAAATAAATAAATGGTACTGTGAAGATATTTTTAAATGAGATTAAATTTTTAATTTGGGGGGAGGGGGAAGGAAACTATGAACAGAAAAAGGCCACAGGCTTATTTCTGTGGGACACACTCAGGGGAAGGGTTCAGTAGCCAGAGACCGTGATATGCCAGCCTCACAGAAAGGCCCAGGAAGCTCTACGGAGGCCCCGGTCTCTATCCGCTCCAGGTCTCCGAGGACCTCACTGTACGATCAGCCAGCACCCGGCTGTATCTTCCCCCCTTCTTTCTGTTCCAGACCCTTCCTGGCCCTGGTGGGGGACACAGTGGGACACACCCCCTTCTCTTGCATGAGGTCCTGGGTTCCATCTCAGCATGAAGAGAAAAAAGAAAGGCCACACAGGCTTGAGCCCTGACGTGATAGTGGCTGGTGTCTATTCATTGCTCCAGGAGCTCTCCCGCCCTCCCGGCAACAGTGATGGCAAAGGCTATTTCCCACTCCGTCCATCTGTCCGTCTGTATTAGTGTTGAGAGCACAGAAAATGCACTGGAACTCCAGGCCTGGTCCCAGATCCCCTAAGTCAGGATGTCAGGACTGTTCCGGGTTCAACCCTTCACACGGTGAGGGGAAAGGGGTTAACCTTGCTCTCCCGAAAAAGACTGAGCCCCCAGAAAAAAGAGGGTCCCACCTGCCTTTAGGCATGGACTCACCCCTACCCTGCAAACCCCGGATTCACCAGCGCCCCCAGAGCACGTGAGCCCCCACTTAAATTCCCTCTCCCCGTGCACGAGTGTGCCTGGAAATCTCTCCAGTTGGGAGTGTGGGAATACAGCCCCTCAGCGTTGCATCTCTGGAGAATCCTAATGCACCAGCTACCGGCCAGAAGACAGCGCCAATTTAATGAGCACCTTGAGAAATGAACACGTAAGTGATGCATTGTGGACACAATAACGGGAAACTCCGTGGGGGTGGTGACAAACCCATGCAAAGGTGACACTCGAGTCACGAGGACTAGGGTCCAGCAGGCAGCCCTGCAGGATGAAGGGTGCCAGGCGGAGGAAACCCTAGGAGCAAAAAGTGTGTGTAGAAAGTGGCCACATCAGGGCTGCTCTCCTGTGGACGTGGAACTAAGACAGGACATCGAACGCGTTCATTGTCACTGTTTTATATAAACAGCGGGAAACTCCACAACCGCATGTGGTGAGACACAGATTCATTCAACTTTAGTTCCCAGACCCGAAGTACCGGGTCAAAGCAGTCTGTCCAAGGTCCCAGGAGAAGTAGGAAGACAAGCAAGCAGTCTGACTTCTCAGTCCGCAATCTAAGACTCCATATGTTTGAAAGCTTAAAATCTTATGCTCAGAGCAGAGGCCAGGAACGCTCAGGTCTACGGACGCGGACATGCTGTGTCTCTTCGCAGCCCCTCGTTCTGTTAAACTCTTTCTAACTTTTTTCTAGTAAAAGCTGGGCCTGAAGAGAAGAGTGATGGCACTCTGGCATCCTCAGGGGGGCTTTCCAGCCCCATCTTACCCATCTCAGGGCACTGCAGACTTCCTGGAACACCCTGGGATATTCCTGGGCTCACTCAGAATGAACGGCAACCTTTTTCTCGTTTACAATGAAGTGATATAGAGGGAAACTTTTACATTTTTATCCTACAGTAGGTGAGTTTTTGTTGGGGTTTGATGAGGGGGATGGGTTTTGGTTTTGGTTTACTTTGGTGTGGGTTGGGATTTTTTTGTTGGCTTGTTTTTATTTGGGTTTTTTGTTTGTTTGTTTTGCTTTGTTTTTGTCTTTTTGAGATAGCGCTTGGCTATGCAACTCAGGCTGGCCTTGAACTCATTTTGCAGCCCACGCTGACCCCAAACTCAGAGCAGTCCTCCTGCCTCAGCCTCCTGAGTGCTGGCATTATAGGCATGCACCACCACCCAAGCTTTTTATTTTCTTCTCTACATGTCTGAAAGTCTCTCTTCTTTAGGAAGTACACGTGAAGGCTGGATTATTCTGACCTTCCACGTTGGTCTTGGGCTCTCTCTTCTCCCTCTAGAATAACCTGCCATGCCTCAAAATTTACCCATCTTCTCTTAGACTGCCCTTCCTCCAGGCTTCCTGTGGAATGTTTACTTTTGCTAAGTTAGTCAGCAGAAATGTCTCCCTCACCACTCGGCTAACCCCAGTGGCTCTGAAAATCAGCCTCACCTCACCCAAATGCTAATCGAATGGGTGGTGGGCACCAGACTTCACAGTGGCAAACCAGGCTACAACAGCAGGGGTCGCCGGCAACACCACAAACCTGAGTTATCTGATTGACTGGTTAACAGGACAAACACAAGATGCATGAACTATGTTCATCCAAAAGAAAGATCTAGAAACGATTTCACTTTTTTAATGTAAGCATTAGTGATTAAGTATCATTGCTTTGGAACTGGGAATACACAGCTCATTAGAACAGTGCATGTGTTTTAATTCCAGTACCCCTGCCCCAAAAAGCGTGGCTTTGGAGGTTTAAAAATTTAGAGTATCCACAGACCAAGCCTAGAAATATGCACATAAGCCCAAATCCATGAGAAGGTTATGGGAATGCTTGTGCCTTCCAACCCCATTCCCATCACCCCCTCACGAGCCCATGCACTCCCAGCTTAAAACCTGAGACCTAAAATATCCTCTGAGTTGGAAATTTCCGTTTTTTAGAAAGCTGTGTTATTCATGCAGTGATCTTATCAAAGTGCTTTCTACCAAGCCACTAAACGTAACAGCTGTTACTTTTATTTTCAAAAAAGTTTAAAACTTTAAGAAATAAGGTCGTTTCAAGTAGTATTTCTGCATATTTTCTATCAGCTGCTTTCTGGAAGAGATTTCAGGAATGGGATGCGGATCCTGTGAACACTGAAGGGTAAACTGAGGCACAACCAGGGCCACCAAGTCAGGCGAAGCTGAAGCCATAAGTGAAACTTATTCCAGCCTGGTGCAGGCGGGCCGAGGGCGGAGGGGCTCACAGGGGTGTCTGGATGGAGGAGGGGACCGGCAGGGAGGAGTGGGAAATGTCCAGTCTGAGTCTGGGGCAGCAGGGAGTCTTGGCTACATCGAATCTCACAGGTGAGGCTGCCTGGGGTGGTTGCTTGTTCACTCTGTGTGGCAGCCCTGGCTCCACCGTCTCTGTGCCTCAGCAGCTGTGGTCAGCAGCTCTGCTCCAGGAGATTTTTCTTCTTGGTTTGGGCAAGGATCTGACATTCCTGCCTTTTATAAAAGCAAAAGGAAAAAAGAGGGGAAGTTGGGCAAAGTTTCTCATGACTACTTCCAGTGGGGCCAGGGGTAGAGTGGACGTGTTTGGAAAAGCATCGAAAGAGAGGGGTTTGTTGGAGGTCAGGGCCTGTGGGCCTAAGACTGGCACAAGCCAGGAGCCCAGCTGTTCCAGGAAAAAGGCCAGCAATCAGACCCGGAAGGGGGCTGTGGTCTCAACGGGGTCCTGGGGTGGAACTGTGCAGGGCCGCTTGGGAGTCTAGGGCTACGTCCCTGGTCCCTGCTATAACCAATGGTGGACAGCTGCTGGGTGGGGGAGGAATTAGTGGAAAAGGAGGCAGATGGGGAGAAGGGGGAGCTAAGGGGAGGGGAGTAGGGACTCACAGTGGGGGTTGGAGGACAGTCACAGGAGGAGCAGAGAGGGGAGTCCGCGAAGAGCAAAAAGCGCTGGACAGACAGACCTCGGCCCATCTCCCAGGTGCCCACGGTGATCGTCTGCATCTCAGAGAACCGAGGGCATTGCGGGTCACCAGGCAGCCGATTTGTAGACTGCTGTTTTGGTTTCAGGTCCGGGTAGAAATGAAGTGGGTGAGATTTCTTAGAACACATCTGAGCAAGGAAGACCATCCGTGAGGAAGAGAGACCCGCCAGGTGGGCGGGATGACCAAGAGGAGGAGAGGAGTCTGCAGTCTAGTCCCGAGCCAGATGGGTGGACGGTGACCAAGCTGGACGTCTGCTGGACCCAGGGACTCAGCACTGGAGGTGAATGTGGCCAGTGCTGGATAAATGGCACTGCTCTGAAGCCCATTTCAGGCTACCCCAGAAGGCAGAAGGCAGGGACGGAGGGGAAGGACCAGAAGGATGATCAAGAAAAAGTGGGGCACTTTCCTCGACCTCACAGGGGATAAAAGGAGCTCCTCAGCCAGCTGGGGGGGCTCGGGAAGATGGGACTCTCCCGGGAGAGGATCTCACCTCCCAGGTCTCGGCATCCGATGACAGGGTAAACTGAGGCAAGATGGCAGCCCTGGCTGAGCCTCAGTGTACCGTAACAGTAGTACTTGGGGCACATTAAGAGGAAGAGGAGAGCAGAGGGAAGCAAAGCAAGCAGAATGTGTGAAATGGTACACGGAGGGAAACAGTGCTAAGCGGTGTTTGATAAAGGACGCTGAGCAATTCAGAGATTTTTGTTTATTAAAATGTAAAAGTTATCCTCACTTTACAAGTTTGAAATCAGACATAACTGATACAAACTATCGCCACCCAAAACCCCACTACAGACACAATCTATGTTACATTCAGTGTCTGCCTATTTACAGGGCACTCTGCAAAGTACATACAAACAATTCACCGTTACTTTACAGTTCAATACATGTTGGATAGTTTCAAAAGAAAGGTGACTCTTTGCAACCAACTGCCTATTTTGAGAAAAACACAGCAAGACTGATCACAGGAGTCCCCTCTTTACTTAGGAACCTATGCATAGGTCACTGATTCTAATTACCAAGGCAATGTTACTTTTGACTTACCATCTTATGCTTCTGTACCTATTTGTTGTGACATTTCTGAAAGTCTTCACACCCTGAATATAACCAGGGAAGTAGATGCGCCTCACGTTCACCCAGTAAACACGACTGAACACACGTCACCAAGTCTAATGAGTAAGGGAAGCCGGCGTCCCACCCCACCCGCCTCCCTCTGACTATATCAGGAGCAGCAGCCGGGGTCCCTCCCGTCTTGCAGGACAAACCCTGACAGCTGGCCCACACCGCTGCGTACGCATGTGGATCTGAGACATGAGTGCCAGCGCCCCTGAGAACCAGAGGATCTGAGATGCCCGGACATAGCCAAGGGTCACCGCTCAGCACAGCTGCAGCCCTTTCAACTTCCCAGGTGACACTGATTTGCAGCCCCACATGGACTGGGTGACACTGGCCACCAGGCCAAGATACAGATGTCATCCCTCAAGGTGCATCAGAAGCACTGGGGAGCCGAGGAGCACAAATGAAATAAATGCACACGCGTTTGAACAGGCTGGGGTGACAGCTGGGAGCCCTCGGGTCATTCGAAGTTGGCACTGGGGCTCTGAGAGGCCGAAGCAGCACTGGAGGGTAGCAAGGCAGTCCAGGTGCCCTGCCCTGGGCAGCTGGGCAGGGGATGGAGCTGCCAGCAGCCTTCTCAGACATCTATTTACATTCTTTGAAGGAGGTCTAAGTTGAGAAGATTTTAAGACCGTGAGTCATTCATTAAAGGAAACTATTCTTTCAAACAAATTACTTCAACTGGTAAGCAGCCTGCATCTCTCCCCTCCAGATCTAAGGCCTCCTCCACAGAGGCCTGACAGGTAACCAGAGGGAGGGACCCAGCACACCAAAACCATCATGGGACTGCCCGGGTGACGGGAAGGACACACACATCTTTGAAGGCCCTGCCAGACAGACTGAAGACTGGCTGGACATCAGCCAGTGCTAAATACCGGGTCAACACACGCTGGACTGGATCCTGAAACTTCCTGTTCCCCCTACACTGAGCTCCTACCTGTAACACCAGGAGAGGCCATGCCGACCATCCGCTCTCAGGTCCTCTGCCCAGCAGCAATGTGCAAACTTCTTGGAGTCCTGTGGGGAGCCTGCAGCACCACACTCTGAGCTGCGCCTAAGGCTTCCTTCCTTCTCCCCCAGGGCCGCGAGGAGGCTCCGTGTCCTCCTCACCAGGAAGCCCTGCAGGAAGGTGGTCCATGCAGAGACCACTCTCACAGACTAGTCACCCACCCAGACTGCTTGGCCTATGCTCCTGTGAGTCATTTTCCAGTTTACAAGCAACTCAAGGCCAAAATGATGAACTGTATAACAAAGACAACAAAACTGAAAAATCACACACAAACATCAAAACCACACAACACTGGATCTGGTGCTGAGAAGAGGGCTCCCGCACAGTGGGCGGAAGATCTTGGGAAGGACCCCAGGGCCACACTGACGAGGAGGAGGAGGAGGGCGATGGCCTCAGGGCCTGGGGGCAGGCTTGGCCGTGAGCTGCTTCTCTCTCTCCAGCTCCCTCTCCCGCTGCTGCTCCCGCTCCAGCTCTTCCTTCTGCCGCTTCTGCTGCAGTTTAAGTGCTCGCTTCTGGGTCAGGAGAACAAAAAATTTAAAAACCAAGAGAACATTAAAAGTGCTTTCAGGTCATATCCCCAAACTTCTTGTTTTGTTTCCTTTCTTTCTTTTGAGACAGGGTCTGGCTATGTAGTTCAGGCTCACCCTGAACTCACCAGGTAGCCCAGCCTTGAACACAGCGATCGCCCTGCCTCAGCCTCCTAAGTGCTGGGATTATAAGCACACACCACCACACCCGGACCTGAATTTCATGTTAAAGTTTCTAAATTCATTCTGGGTAATTTAAGGTCCCCTTGATTAAAAATTTATTTATATTCTTGCAACTCCGCCTCCGCCCCACCTTCCTCTCCTGCCTCAGCCTCCCCAGTAGCTGGGTCACAGGCATGGTAGCAGGGCCATTGTGCTCCAAGCTCTTGCTAAGTGAGGACCACAGCTGTGCAGCCAGGGGACGTAGGCCCATGAGCCGCGCTGTTACAAAGCTCAGAACTGACAGTGCTGGGGGCGGACGCAGCACAGAGGCAGAGCACTTGCCCAAGCGCTCAGAGGCCCTGGCTTCTGTGCCCAGCACAGAAAAGAAAAGACAAAAGACAACTTTTAAGATAGCAATCTGTTGTGAGCATGTTCTTGCCCAGGGAAGTGGAAAATCTCAAAAGCAAACACCGAAGCAGCACCCCACCGCCACACACACCCGCGGCGCCCACCTTCAGCCTGGCTGTCTTCTCGTGCAGCAGCAGCATGTCCCTCCGAATGCTCACCAGCTTGGCGTGGTAGTGCTTGGCCTCTGTGAACTGTGTGGCGGGGGGACATGGAAAGTCAGGAGAAAAGACTGGAATTCCAACGCGGACAGCTACGTTGGGGCCCACCTGAGTTCAGTCTCCCCAAACTGATGTTTATTTATAGCCTCAACTATAGCCACATTGTAAATTCCAAAACACAGATCTGCTGAGATGATCAGGAGATCTTCACACTTGATTCAGTTCGAAAAAGCAGTTGACACACAACAGGCATGTGGATTACAGCGGGTGCAGATGACAGTGTGCTTTAAAGACCTGTAATAAAATCCTATAACTAAGGCCACCCACAGCGATCGGTGGTGCAAGAAACAAAGGCCCTCCCGCCTGCACCAGGAGACGCAGCGCTGGGGACACAGGATGGTCCAGGCAACAGGTCTGCTTATCAGGAGAGCCCAAGGACACGGACATGCTTCCTCTGGGAGGACCCTTGGTGACCGCCTACCCTGCCAGGAGAAGTGTGAGGGTGCATCCTCCCAGTAGGCAGGAGAGGGATGGACACACTGGGTCCCCACACAGGGCAGCATGGAGCAAACGTGATGCGGCCTCGAGAGCTCTGTGCAGGGCACAGGCAAAGTCTGATGCCTCTAGGGCGACAGCCACTGAGCCACCTCCAGGCTGAGGGAAGTCGAGAGCGAGACTGACTCAGACTCAGTTCCCAGTCCTTCAGAATAAAGCAATAGGATTCGAGCTGCCTGATTCAGTTACTGAACATTCATTCATTCAACAAACACCCACCATCCCACAGGAGGGCAGGGCAGCCTCACTCACTACAGAATCCAGCCACTGCTGAGCAGGAAGCTGTACATGGCTCCCGCCAGCCTCTGCAGATGTCGGGAAACATGGACTTTTTCACTGCTGCATGAGGAGAACACCACTGAGCCGCACCTGTCCAGCAGAAGTCCATGCTCTGCGGCATGCCTGAGTCCCTCTGCAATCACGAGTGAGTACCATGCCCTTTACAGAGGATAAGGCCCAGGAGAGGAGAAGCAGCAGCAAGCTGCTTGCTTTTGTTAATTCTCTTTTCTTAAACAAAACGGTATCAGTTCCTCTCATCAAACAGCTGTCAAATTTCTCAAGAAGTACAACCACCCAACTTCGGCACAGAAAGATGTAACAGATCACATTTCCCAAGGACCCACTGCAACCCAGGCACTTACTATGGCATAGCCAAGATGCCACAGGAGCAAAGGAAAGTAATCTATGAAACCATCAATAGACAGTTACGGGAGACGATACGCTGCTAACGGTCACACAGAGCCCCAAAGCTCCCCCTTCTTGCTCCCATTCTGTGTCTCGGATTCTGAGCACCTCTTATCTGGACGCATAAATAAGTTCCATTTCCTTTAACATTTGAAATATAATTCAAGAATGTGGACTTTCTGGTAAAGTAAGTGGAGGTCTCTTGTTTAAAAGTCACACTGTAAATTTTTTAAATATTAGAGGATTAGGGGCTGGGGATTTAGCTCAGCGGCATAAGCACCTGCCTTGCAAGCAGATGGTCATGAGTTTGATCCCCGGTACCAATAAAAAAAAAAAGAAAAAAAAATTAGAAGAGTAAATCTGAAATACACATAAGTTGTGACAAGCATAAGTATTTCTAATATATCACTAACGTATCGATGAAATCATACTTACCAAAGCATTGATATCCAACATTGAGTGGCATTCTTTAAATTTTGAAATCTCTTGTTCCAGTGTATCTAATAACACAACCTGGTTCTGTCTGAAACAAAAGCACACAGCCAAAGTGAAATTTACATGCTGCAAGCCTGGTTTGTTAAAAGGAGTCTCATTCAGAAACTGAGTTGGAAATGCACTGCCCTTCAAGGCTTATTTGGCTTAGTATCACCTTTTTCAAAATAATATTCCAAAGCCACATTCGGACAATTAAATGTATTTTTCATTTTTGCCTAAATTTCAGACTCCAATACCTAAAAAAATTAAATCACTTAAAATATTTGTTATTTTAGTAACTCTCTATATTATCGTCAAAAAACGTTTTTAATAGAGCCTTTCCTAAAAAGGTAAATGTTTTATATATCTTAAAATCGCAAGATTATGGCCAGGGATGGTGGTGACATGCCTATAATCTCCGTACTTGGGAAGCTGGAGGCAGGAGGATCACCATGAGTTCGAAGCCAGCCTGGCCCCTACAGTGAATTCAAAGCCAGCCTCAACTACATAGCAAAACGCTATCTCAAAGAACAAAATCACAAAACAAATTGCAACACTCCCATAAAAGAAGCATGACTTTTCTGCTTAGTATTGGGGAAGACAGTGAATCAAGAGATTCTAAGTCAAAAATGATAGATAAGCAGCAAGATGAAAAAAGACAGGAGGAGAAACCACAGCCCCTCTGCCAGGTGTCAGTTTACTCCTTCCAACCTAAACATCCCTGTTCATGAAGGGAGGAGGCTGGAGAGCTTCTGAGGCTCGCCATTATAATTCTGGTTGAAATCCTGTAGGGATGACACACAAGCTTCCCCATCATTCCTCTCCGCAACAAGCAAGGGAAAATCAAAGCTCCAGGAACACTATGGGGTTGCCCGAGTGAACATTTCAAAGAAAAATATGGCATGCTTTGCTTGCGAAACTGCTGCAGAGGAAACAGCAGCGAAGGCGAGAGAGGCCCAGGCCCTGGAGGCCCGGGACAGTGGCATGTAACCCCAGCCAGCCCATGTCATCCCAGCAGGTACCCCAGTCCGTCCCTGGCTCATGCTGGAGACCGTGGCTGCAGTACGGAGAGGAAGGCCAGCAAGCATGTGCCAGTGCCCCAAGACCTCAGCAGAGCAGGGGCATCCCCTGAGAGCCGCAAACCACCAATACTCAGAGAGAAACAACAGAGCTACACAAGAACAGTAATAATTTTACAAAAAAGACAGCGCCAGAACCAGAGAGCTTCCGCACATGCCATCCACCTAGCCTTTCAGAAACAATACCAACTCTCCATAATCTCACCCGGAAAACGGCACACTTCCTCACTCATTCTGTGAGGCCAGCATTACCCTAAAACCACAAACAGACACTACAAGAAAGGTGTGTTACAGACCAGTGTCTCTCACAAGCAGGGATGCAAAAATCCACAATAAAGGCAGTGTGATGGTGCACACCTGCAGCCACAACACTCAGGAGGCTGAAGACTGCAAGCTTGACACAAGCCTGGGCTGCACGGCAAGTTCAAGACCCACCTGAACTCCACAGTAAGACTCTGTCTCAAAAAAGAAAAAAAAAATCCTCAACAAAATACTAACTAATGACTGTAATAATGCGTAAGAAAAATGATATACCACAGCCAACGGGGATTTATGCCAGCTTTGTGTGTATACGAAGCTGGTTCTACATTTGAAAATCAGTGTCATACACTACATCACCAAGCTAAAGAAAAAATATAGACTATGCCAACTGATGGAAATAAAAAAGCTTTTGACAAAATTCACCTCTCTGCATGATTGAAAACATTCTCAACAAACTAAGAGAGACTTCCTCAACTTGATAAGAAAACATAAAGTCCACAGCAAATCTCACACTGATTGTGAGAAAGCAAGTATTTTTCCTCCTAAGACCAAGAACAAAGCACATCCCTCAAACTAACCTCCATCCAGCACGTCACTAGAAGTCCTCACCAAAAGGCAAGAAAACAAAAGGCACAAATGGGAAGGAAGAAATAACACTGTCTTTGTTCATGAATGACATGATTTCCTATGTGGAAATTCCCAAAAGATCAACAAAAAAGTCCCCTGAAACTATATGCAAGTTCAAAGTTTCATGACAGGAGGCAAGTCGGCTGTTTTCCTAGGCACCAGCAATTAATCTAAAATTTTCAAAAGCACACTATTTATAACAACCTTCCCCCAATGAGAAAGCATGGTTTTAACCCAACAAAATTTGTACAGGATTAATATGTAAAAACCACACAACTCTAGTGAAAAAATCAAAACTGATCCACAGCTGGTGTTATGATTTGTGTCCCCAAAGCTCTGTGTGATCATGGGGGAAGGCTTCTATAATCTGTGATTCATTCACTGTCCAATGATGGGATTAAGGGTGACCCACATACAATATGAGGGACAAAAAGGGCCTTCTCTGCGAGCTCTGCCCTTATTGCTGCTGTTGCTTTAGCCATCTTCTACCACCATGAACTGCTGCCCTCTGCCATGAGTCATCCCTGCCGTGGGGCCAGGTGATTATGGACTAAAACCTCCACAAACTGTGAGCTAAATCAACATTGTCTTCCTTAACTTTCAGTGTCAAGTATTTTGTCTGAGCAAGCAGAAAAAAATAACCAACACAGCTGGGGATGTAGCTTGGTGGTAGAGCACTTGCCCAGCATGCCTGAGGGCCTGGGTTTGATCCCCAGCACTGAAAAGAAAAAGAAAAAATTCCAAATAATAGACAGTTAATCCAAGTATGTACAGCAAATGATTCAATATTTTTAAAAAGTCAATTCTTCCCTGCTTGATCTAGTAGGTTGGTGCAAAAATCAAACTCACAGCAAATTAATTTATAGTTAGTAATGAAGTAGGAGATTGGGGCTGGGGCAAAACTGGTCAAATAAATGGGGTAATGTATCAAAGTCAGGAGACACAGGGCATAAGCACGGAACACAGAACCTGGGTGACCCTGCAGTTCCTAAACACTGTCGGTGGAACCAATCAGAAAAGTGCTATTTTCAGTTCTTCACTTCCATCTGCCTGGCACAAAGCCAAGCAAGTCTCCAACAGGACAGTAAATCTGGCACCAAGTGAGCTTTGGCTAGAACGACTGTCCCTTTATCTGCATGAGTGAGAAGCCAATCTCGGAATTCCAGATACAGAGGGGCTCCTCCCGTATCCAGTGGCCACAGGGAGCCTCTCATCTGCAGAGCAGACTTCCTTTCAGTCATTCAGAAACACTCGTCTCTGTGCCCTTTTCTGTGTGTCTTGTCCACCTCTTTGGTGAGGATGCCAATGACCGGGGAGAAATTCCCTGGGACCAAAAGGTAAGTAATAGCAACAAATTCTAAAGGTCATACTAAAGTTTTCATACAGTGCTGAAAAAAAATGCTGAAAGACTTAACCACTCAGTCTCTTCATGAAAGCAAAGCTACAGGGATCAACACAGCACCGTGCTGACCAAAACAGGAACGAAGCGGAACATGAAGCCCTTAAACTGACCGACACTGTTAAACATACTCAATTGCTCTTTGACAGCCGAGCCAAGGCGATGCAGGGGAGAGAAGAGGCTTTCCAACAAGTGATGCTGGAGAAATTGGTGTCCATGTGCAAAGAAACAAAGCTAGACGCACACTTTATACCATCGTAAAGTTAACTTAAAATGGATCTTGGCTCTAAATGCAAAAAGCAGAACCAAACCTTCCCGGAGAAAATCTAGCTGATCTTGGCTTCGTGATGTTTCAGATAAAATATCAAGAGCATGATCCATAAAAGACAAGTCATCAGTCAGAATTAAAATTAAAAACTGCTGTGCAAGACAATGTTAAAAGTACAAAAAGACAAACTACAAACTCAGAGAAAATATTCGCAAAACACATAAAAGACTTGTATCAAAAATTTACACAGGACTCTCGGAAGTGACCTAAATGGACATCTCTCGTTTAGTAATGGGCTCTGTCTGGCCTCTGTCCAAGGTTCCTGACACTGAACTTCTAAAATCCCCAGAATTCCCAAGGAACAGGACTGTCTTATTCAGGAGCACCCTGATCACACTTGTGTTTTAGCTTATGAGGTGTCTCCCAGTAGGATGAGACCCCTACAGCTTCAGGCTGGGGTCACCCACGTGATCAGAAGGTTGGGACCTTGAATCCTATGACACCAGCCCAGAAAAGGGAAGCCAGAGACTGGGCTCAATCCAGTGGTCAGTGAGTCACTCAGTCACACCTGCATCATGAACACTGGGGACAGCAGGGTGGGCAGTGACTCCTGACCAGTGAGCCCCAGCCAGGCTTCACACCTGGAGAGGGCACCCAGGCGCTCTATCTGTGGTCCTCTCAGCAGCATATGTGGCCAATCCCACCTCAACCTAAATCTGTATTGCAAAGCCAGCGCACTCTGGAACCACGAATCTAGGCCAGCGCCATCCATTAAACCCTGTATTCAGCCTTTGTTCCCAGCTTCCTCTCGTAGGATGGCGCCCAGGTGTTCGGCAGGCAGCTGCTTTAGTCCATCCAAACCCCAGAGTCTTCGTGGCTCTTCTGCCTCCAGGACAGACTGGCCTCAAAATCCGAAGCGTGCTGTGCTCTAGGGATGAGTGTTTCCCCTGGGACTAGCAGCAAACCTTGAGTGCTGCCAATTCCCCACCATGACCGTGCACCACGCGGTTCTACTTCCACCCTCCGTGAGCACCGGCAGCGGAGAGCGACCGCGCTACTTACCAATAACCAAGTTGGCTACGGTTACTGATCAGGCCTCTTCCTTCACCCTATAAAGGCTCCTGAAATAAGTTTTCATAAGAACAGGTCTTACAGCTGAAGTCTAGTAAGAGTCACAGTATTCCTCAGGAGAAATCACTGCAAGAGTGTCATTTCACTCCTCACACCTGGATTACTATGCGGGCCTCTATTCCCAGAAATACGCACTTATGGTTAAACGTTACCCAGTATAAGACCATAATCCTGTACATAACTATGAGGTCAAAGACTGCCTTAGAGAGGAAAGGGTCTGCTTACGTGAGCTCCTGCAGCGCCTGCTTGGATCTCTGCAGGTCCGGCAGGTAGTGAGACAGCAGACCCTCCGCCAGCTGCTCCACGGCTCTGCCATCCGCCAGCGAGTCCTCCACCAAGCCTTCATCTGGGGAAGCGTCACCCACCCCTGTTCCAAGCGAGAATCAAACACAGGAAGCTTTTAAATTGCCAGCAGCACTAAAGGAGGCTGGGGAGCTCTAAGAGGGAAGGAGAAGGTGGGTAACGTTCCCTAAAGGGAAGCAGTCTTGCTTTGCAAAGCACACAAAAACTATATAAAAAAAAACAGCAACACCAAAAGATGTTCTCAATGTACAAAAACCAAAATATGGGTCAACATTTATGTCACCTACTGCTTAATATATTATTCAGATAAAAGGAGAGGTGTCATTTGCTAAGGAGCAGAAGCAAGGTTTTCAAAGAATGTTTCCTCTGTTAAGATTCAGCAATTCAGCCAAGCAGAATAGTGCACACAATAATCCCAGCACTCAGGAGGCTGCGGCAGGAGGATTAATGTGCATTTGAGGCCAGGCTGGGCTACACAGAGAGTTCAAGGCCAGCCTAAACTATATAGGGAGACCCTGTCTCAAAAAAAAAAAAAAAAAAAATCAGCACTTTCACATAGTACACAGTGTGTAAGAGGTCCCTATATATAGCGAATGTTTAAGTTTTAAAAGTTTATTACAGAAAAAAACACATTACCATAAATCCCCCTCAAAATACTCCACCTCTCTTCGGACACACTAATCCCACCATTCTTGCCACTTTCTGAAGCAGTTCTGGAATCCCATGAAGGCCCCTGCAAGTGCCACCCAACAGAAAGGCAAGGGGCTGGGGGTTTAGCTCAGCGGCATAAGTGCCTGCCTTGAAAGCAGGCAGTCGTGAGTTCGATCCCTGGTACCGATAAAAAGGAAAAAGACAAAAAAAAAAAAGAAAGGCAGGTTTGGGACAGCCTGACACTGTGTCCTCATCCACCACCAAAACTGTAAACCTCAGTAAGACTGAAGAAAACACTATCATTCTCCACGGAAGTTTTTTAGAAAGTCAAAATAAAACTTTGGTGTTTTTTTTTTTTTTTTTACTTTAAACCCGAAAAACACATGAACAAAGTTGGAATTATTAAAACTGCAAGGCAACATCCAAACAGAAAAGAACTAGAAACTGAAACACTCCATGCATAAACTAAAAATGAAAAATGAGCGGGTGCTTAGGAATCCTGTGCCAAGGTTGTGCCTGGGGTGGGGGGGAGGGGTGAATCTGGCAAGTGATTCCATTGCTTCCGGCTTGATGACAACAAACACCAACTTCAAGTAGTAGACAAGCCATGGCATTACAGAGGCACACACAGACTCGCCAACATAAGGATAACTGCACTTTAGGGCATAATGATTAACTTACCTCTTATTCAGCATGTGTGTGTTGAGACAGGATCTTACTACGTAGTTCAGGCTGGCCTTGAACTCACTATATAGCCCATGTTGGCCTCCAACTCACTATATCCTCTTGCCTCAGCCTCTTGAGTGCTGAGATTGCAGGCACACACCATCATACCCAGTTCCACTTCTTACATATATACTCATCTTAACTCATGGACTTTTTTCTTTCCAGCCTAATCTTTTGGTTAATTATTAAGTAAGTCTCAGTGTTTTTATAAATATTTAACTATTAAGAACCAGGTAATGCTGGGCATGGTAGCCGACACCTGTAATCCCAGCCCTTGGGAGGCTGAGGCAGAAGGATCATCAGGAGTTTGAGGCCAACTTGGGCTTCACAGTGTGTTCAAGATGGCCTGAACTACATTGTGGGCGCCTATCTCAAAACACAAACACAACTTACTATGAGCGTTTAAAGAAGAAACTTTAATTTATTCATACAAAAACACTTCCTGATCATCTATCTATCCCGAACATCTATCTATGCACCAGTTTCTGGAGTTTCCACAACAAGTCACCAATCACTTTCTTAGGAGAATCACAGAGCATGACAGAGCAGCGACTGAAACAGGAACTGTTACAAGTCTGGGATAGTCTTAAAAGGAAACGTGGGTATTTTAGGCTTAATGAATGAATGCCTGTCTTTCTTTGTTACTCATTGCTTAGACATTGTTAAAACACTAAAGAGCACAGGCTGAAAAGTAAAAGCTCTTTTACTCCCTAACTCCCAATAGAGTCGTGGAGATTCTTACACAGGCTTCAGAACCTATCTTTGCATGTCCATGCAAACAATATTTAGCATAATTCATGCTCTTTTATGTCCCAGATAGCTTTCCACAGCAACATATACGGACCTGCTATCTTCTTTATAACAGAATTCTACCAGTTTTTAAACCAGCTCCTTATGGATAGTTTTCACCTTCTGCCATCTCAAACAATTCTGGACTGCGCTTCCTAGCTAATCTCTGCACATTTGTCACAATTTCTAAGGGACTGATTCTTAGAAGCAGACGGGTAGAACAAAAGGCTTGTGCTTTCTTACACTGCAAAACTATGCTCCCCAATATGGCATCACTTTACATTCCCACCAAGGAGCTATAGATGCTTGATTTACAAATGGGCAAGCATTCTATGCGAGGCGCACAGGGGATGCAATGCGGACTAAAGGAAGCAACGTAAGCACAGGTGGGAATGCGGGTCCACTCTGAAGGCTGAGGCAGGGTGAGCTAGCAGCTCAGCGATCATCGGGTACAAAACCCTCAGTGGCCTACGAGGACCACTGAGCCCCCTCCGTAACGGGGCGGGGGGTGGTTTTCAGTAAGGGGCCCTGCGCTTCCGGGTTCTGAGCAAGGCAACGACACAGATGACAGCAGTGGGACTCGCAGACCCGAACGGCACAAGGCTGGAGCGGCAGCCTTACAGCTGCTGGACGAGGACGTGAAAATCGGGGAGTAAAATCCCCACACTCGAGAGGAGTGTGGCATTGGAGAGCGCCCAGTGCCACTTCCGAGGCCCGGGGGAAACGAACTCAGCCCCTTTGCAGGACTGGACGTCCGCTTCGCCGGGGACGCGGGACGCCGGGACGCCGTGGAGGCCGACACAGGCACTCAGCGGCGTCCCTGACCGGGCCTCTCCCTGTCACACGCACCCCCAAGGCGTCATCAGGCGTCATCGCGGGGGCAACGGGGCCGGATCCACAGAGCCGACATCGCCGACCCCGCCTCAGCCCGCTCCCTCCCGGCTTCCGTCCCGCGCGTCCCGCCTCGCGCGCGTACAGGGCCCGACTCGGCCCCGCATGCAGCACGTACCCAGCGTTGGCTCGGCGGGAGGCTCCGTCGGGACCCCGTCCGGGGACGGTGACCCAGGGACATTCATGTCCCTCCCGCTGGACCCAGAGAGGAGGCAACTGAGAGGACCGTCTGAAACCGGAAGGAGCAGCGCTCAGCCGCCAGCGCCCGACCGGACCGAAGTGGTGGTCGCACCCGGAAGTGACGAAGGCGGAAGCGGGCGGACTTGTGGCACATGACAGCTGTCAAGCGCCGCCATGAGGTTCCGGGCGCTGGGTCGGGCCAACCGGCGCTCTCGGCTGGGTTCCTGTATAGGTGTTGGGAAACTTTGAGGGCATCGAGTGGTGCCGCAGACCTGGAGAACGTGGGGGGGGGGCCTGGCTTAGCGGGGACAGGCTGGCTTGGCACCCTGAGGCCTCGGAGCAGTATTGTGACTTTGTAAAGAAAAAGCTTTGGAGTGCAGGGTAGGGTTGGCGCAAGCCTGTAATCCCAGCACTTGGGAGGCCAAGGCGGAGCATCACTGTGAATTCAAGGCCAGTTTGATACCTAGTCTCAAAAAGGATAATGGGGCAGAGGGGACTTGAGGACAAAAGCCGCCTGTTCTCTGCTATTTATACTGTTGGAAAAAACCTTGGCTTGCAGCGCTGTGTGACTTTCAACCTTGCTAACTGAGGGTTTTCCATGATTCAGTCCCTCTTTTTTTTTTTTTTTTTTTTTTTTTTTTTTTTTCTGGTACTGGGTATTGAACTCATGATCCTGCGCTTGCCAGGTAGGTGCTTACACTGCCGAGCTAAACCCCCCGCCCGTAGTCCCTCCTTGATTGCAGATGATTAAGTCCGCGACAGTATGTACGGAACAAATTCAGCGAAGTCACTGAAGCCAGTTGTTAAAAATCCTGAAAGATGATGTCATGAACTTGATGGAAAATACTTAGAAATGGGCAGAGGCAACGGAAGACCGAGTAAAACGATTGTCTGCCTTCTCTACCATGGACCCACTCATCTAAACTTTCGTGGCTCCTGAAGGTTGTGCCTCAATATTGCCTGCCTAGTTATGTCTCAGCCAAAGCAGTTTTCAAAAAGAATTATGTGAAGCCTCAGAAATACATTGGTTCCCTGTTTCCGCTATCAGTACATTAACACTTTTGCTACTTCAGCCACTTTTCCAATCCATCTTAGCTGCTCGTTGGTCCCTACTATAAGTAAATAATGACCCCTCAAAGATGTATCCAGTGACATTTGGTTTTTACTTATTTTAGCTAGAGTTAGCTTGTGAGGTTGCCAAAACTATGACAGATAAAAGAGGCACAAACAGAAACCATAAGTAAAACAATGAGCAAGCAGGGCCACAGAGACTAAAGTAAATGTCAGATTCTGACTTAAACTCTGCTACCAGATACAGCTTAATTGTCACTTGCCACTCACTGATAGGGTTTGATATAAATCTGCAAGCAACTGATTCATTATGGTCTCAGTGCAGTCAGACATCTGGTAATGTTAGTCCATATTTGCAGTTGCTGCTCAGAGCTAGCATCACCGCCTCAGGTCGCCCCCAGATCATTAACATCAGAGTGCCTTAAGGAGCATGCAACATAGATTCCTGACAAGCGCAGTTCACAGTAGATTTCCAGGTCTTGTAAGAATCTAACATCATCAATGATCTGACAGGGAGCAGACTCATACTGTGATATGAGCAATGGTGGGGGCTGTAATTACAGATGAAGCTTCATTCAGTTCCCTGCAACTGATCTGGTCTTAACAGGCTACTTGGTTCTTTGTCCAAGTGTTGGGGACCCCCACTATAGAAGGTTAAAAAATAGGGAAAGGGATCACTGGGCATAGTAGTTTATACCTGTAATCCCAGCACTCAGGAAGCTGAGGCAGGTGGAAATCGTTTCGAGTTTGAGACCAGCCTGGGCTTCAAAGTGAACTCAAGGCCAGCCTGAACTGCATAGAGAGACCCTGTCTCAAAAAGACCAAAAAAAAAAGAATAGGGGGAGGGAAGGAGTGAAAACAACTTCCAGTTCCTATCTGCCAAGAATTTGTAATACACCATTTATTCATACCCAATTAGTAAGCATGACATAAAGTACCAAATTATGCCAGGCATGGTGGTGCATACCTGTGATCCCAGCACTTGGGAGGCTAAGGCAGGATGATTGTCATGAGTTCCAGCCCAGTCTAGACTACATAGTGAGCTCAAAGCCAGCCTGAACTACATAGCAAGACCCTGCTCAAAAAGAAAAAAAAAATGCAATTATGTAGAACCAATCTGGAGCACTATAAAGTCCATAATGATGTTGTGTTAATTTTTTGTGACTCTGGTGCCAAATTACAAACTTGGTAAATTGAAACAACATAAATTTATAATTTACTAACTTACCTCTCTGGAACAACACCGTCCAGTTTATGAGAACTGGCCTCAAGGCTCTGTGACATCCACTGGCCATCCCCTACAGACCCCACTGTCCTCCAGTAGCACCCACCTGGAGACCAAGCCTACAAGAGACAGACCAGAACCAAGCTATTGCAAAACAGGGGTGGGGGGATATATCAGAAGGGGGTGCATTATTCAGCCCACAGAAATGCGTGAGTGCATAGTGCACAGGTGGCCAATAGCAGGAGAAAGTTTAAACTGTCGTAGAGAAAGCATGCATTAAAGAACAGGTAAAATGTAGACTATTGGGAAAAGCCAGTGAAGTATTAACAGGCAGGAAAAAACAAGTGAATGACACAAATTCTTCATTCTGTCAAAGCACTATCTTTTGAGGAAGAAAAACATGGATTAAATGATTAGAAGAATAAACATATTACATAATCTGTTAGAACAAAAGTATTTAGGAAAACAAAAGTTAACTCTAAATGTGATACAACAGTGAATTAAGTTCAAAGAAAAATCCATAAAGAGTTAAGCACAATGCATAAACACAGCAAAAACAGGGATGTTGGATTTCCAGGGCTGAAACTCAAGGAAAAGCAAATGTAATATAATAAATACATCATAAGTGTCCTCTCCCTTTAGTTCTGCTACTTTCTTTAAATTTTCCTACAGTCTTTATTTTTGCTAAGCTAAAGAGAGAAGGTAGGGAGGAAATTCATGTAGAGAGGAGCATTAGTCTATTTATATTTTCTATTCCTTTTATGGATCAGATACCCTATATTTAGAATGCTAGCATTTGATCAAATGTGCTGCACCTTGACCTAGTTCTGTCACAGGCTCTTCCACCTCCTCTTTATCGCTCCTTCCTTTCCCAAAAGCAAGAAAGAACTGGCGCAGGTGGAGGCGTGCAAAAAATTTCAATGAGAACAATATAAGGACCAAACTGCAAAGAAAAAGAGATGAGAACAAAAAAGAGAAACAAATAACAGATGTTACACTGCATGGCCTTAGGCTTCTACTGGATTACATGTTGGAAATGCAAGCTCATATAGCATAACAGCCTTGCAAAATAAAATGGAGCATGGTGTTGCACACCTGTAATCCCAGCACTCGGGAGGCTGAGGCAGGAGGGTCGTCGCAAGTTCAAGACCAGCCTGGGCTACAAAGAATTATAGGTAGAAAATCAAGGAATTGTGTGCTAAAGGAAAATAGTTTACCAAGGTTAATAAGTTTGAAAAGATATTTTCTCAAGCTTTAACTACTTTTATATTTACATGAGAATTACTTGTTCATGTTAGCAGAGTGCTAAAATACTTCCACCCACCCCAGCTCTGCTACCCTTCCGTTATTCCTTTTCATTATGTAACAAGCATATTTTTTACATATATTTAACACCAACACCTCCTTCCAACCCTGCCACCAAAAAAAAAAGTAACACATGCAGCATCAAAGGCAATGGCTTTTGAAGATTTTAGAATTATGAGAAACATTTTCTGTTAGCCAAATTTTGTTCAAGCTTCTATTTTGCAATAAGTAATGGAGTTCATTAAAATGAGAGGTTGATATTCAACCTCCCTTATCTTTTTCAGTTCTTATTTAAGGATCCCTAGGATTTCAGTTCTTATTTAAGATCAGGTGCAGTTGCAAGGTGCAGAGGAGGCAAGAGCATAGCTGAAATAAAAAAGATCATCGCAGGGCCCCGAACACTCACACACAGCCACTCTAGGAAGGGCCCTGATCCCAAAGGCCCTCCCCGACCTTTCCTCTAAAGGACCGCTCTTGTCATTTCTGTGCGAAGAAGAAACCCGGCAGGTTCCACACTGGCCCTGGAAGACTTGTAGCAGAAGTGACATGAGTCACATTTCATTGTCCGCTCCCAGCCAGGGCTTGGGGACCGTCACCCCAGCATCTGATCAGGAAGGAGGAGCCCTAGGATGTGAGTGGCACTGGTGATTCTCACCGGCCCGAAATGAGAACTTTCCCTCTTGAAACAACCCGAGCAAATGCAGATGATAAAACTTTGAACAGACTTTTAGGAGCAATTTTAGGTTCCCCGTAAATGGAACAGAAAGCTGAGAGTTCCCATATGTCCCACCCATATGTGTGGGTGTCTCTGCACCATCCACCTGCCTCGCTGGAGGCTGTATTTGTTACACAGAGTGAACCTGTATCAATTTATCGTTATCGACCAGGATCCATAGTTTACATTTGGCTCCTCCTTGCGGGTTTTTTCTGGTTCTTCTCTTTTCTTAACTCTTTCCTTTTCTTCCTATACTTTAAATGAAAGCTATGTTTACCTGTTTTATCAATTTCCCAGCCAGTTCTTTGGGTGGGGCAGAAAGAGCCCAGAACCACTGAACACTGAGACATCCAGCAGCTGGACCTCACTGTTGTCCTAATTTTAATTTTTTAATGACATGTGATTGAGTACCTTTTCCTATGCTCGTTTACTACCCACTTTGGTAAGATGTAAGTTGAGATACCTGCTTTTTTTAAGACAGGGTCTAGCTGTGTAATTCAGACTGGCCTTGAACTCACTCTGTAGCCCAGGCTGGCCTCGAACTTGTGGCAATCCTACTGCCTTAGCCTCCCAAGTGCTGGGATTGCAGGTACGCATCACCACCCAGTTCATGTTATTTTAAAGAAACCATTTATTAATTTCCTAGGTGGAAATATCTGTATTAATTTTTATTAATAGCTAAAGATTCCAAAATGTCATTTTTCCCTCTTGGGTTTCAGAACTCTGTTATGTGTGCTAGCGGGAGGGGGAAGCATTAGTAAATAGATGAGTGTAACCCATCTGTGTCTCATTGTGAACTCAATAGAACTAATCCCTGCTGTTGACTACTGCAGGACTTTCGGTCCTGATCGTCCTCAGTCCCATCCTCACCTTTCCTCACCCTCCTGTCTGCCACCACGGGCCTGTCCCCGTCTCCTGTGCCCACTGGCTTCAGCTGAGTTTGGCCAGCGCAGGCAGAGACCAGAGGCTGGGAGACTGGATGGGAACCCGAAGGAGACATCGAGGTGCTCCTTGCTTTGTGCCCCGTGGCAGAACTGGTAACACATTACTACAATCTCAGGGTGCTTGTCAAATCCGCACTAGTTACCCATCCACCCTAAACTCTTGACGGCCTGGAGCTCTCTGTGTGTCAGACTCCCCTGAGGCAAACACTGGGCTTGCTGCTTACTACGATAACTCCACCCACTGTGCTTCCAATGGTTTGCGGACTACTAGGTGATCTCTGCTACTTTAGGAGCCTGTTATCTCCAGTGACTTCCTGGCATATCATAGATCTGTGACCCCAGCCCACTGAAGATTCACCGCTGAGTTTCTCGGTAAGTTGGGCACCTTTTCCACCAGTGCATTTGCATCGGTTTGATAGGATGTCATCTGGAACCAGGCACCAGGTGGTCTCACCCTCTAGAAATAAAGCACACTTACCTGAGTCCTTTAATCCTTCACTGTCTTCCAGAGTGGTCTGTCTTTCCATTGCACTTTCCAAGCTTCCTCAAAACCATCCCAACAGCAAGGTAACACCGTTTGCCAGAGTGTAGAATCCTGTGTTATAGGAGAATGCTCCCCCATTCATAAATTCCTCTTTATCCAACCTTACTATTTCTCTCTCATCATTCCAGCATCCTTCAGCTCCACTGTTACACAGATTGTCCTGGCTTGTGCCAGTACTCATTGGCCAGATCCTGCAGCTTCTTTAACAAGTGGCCAATGAGTTTCCTGCCCTGGCAGGTGAGGGAGGTGCTGGGTCCTCTATTCTCTGACCCTAGGGATTCTGACCAGGTGGGGAGCCAAGGGCAGGTGATGGAGAGTGTGCATGTTGCCATACATCACCTTCAAGCACAGTGTGATCTTTGGCCTTGGACCCCTCTCTGGCTCAGAGGGTCCAGGGGAATCTGGGGAAATGGAGTTATCCGTTCAGATTTCCCCACCTAGAGTTTCTGGGATCCGCTCCACCCCAGTCAAGACCCTGATCTCGATGTCACACACAGACATGGGTGGCTGAGAATCCACTCTTCTGCAGAGCTTTGCTGCCACTATCATCTTGGGCCTGATTTTCAACTTTTGTTGCCATCTGGCTGCCGGCTTTGTTTGTATTAATTTTACTATTACCTGTCCGCAGGCAACAATGTTTAGGTTCCTCTTAGGATGTGGGTATGTGTATGTCACATATTTTAACTCTTTCTATTTCCCTTCTCTCCTCCCTCCAACTCTAGGTTCGCTTCCTGCATTTTTACTTAGTTTTTAGCTCTTGTCTGTGACATGCATTGTGGGGTGATGGTCCATGGACACAGCGTACCTCAATGCTCTCCACATCCTGCTCTCCTCTGCCCTTTCCTTCCCTTTCAGCTCTTGGCCTCCCCTCCGTGGCTGCAAGACTGAGTCTACGCATGAACCACCAAGGAGGTCTCCAACTGTCACATTTTGTCTTTGGGAGGCTGATGACTTTCTGCCTCACATTATTCTTTCTCCAGCATAGGAGACAGCATAGGAGAGCCATGCAGTTCCGTGGTCCCAATCATTACTGCCTCCTCCAGGCATTTCAGGGACCCAGGTTATTATACCACACCCTTCCATGAGTGCTCCAGCCCCATTCACCCAAAGAGTCATTAACTGTGGCTCAGCTGTGGTGGCCCACACTGCTGTCTTCCACCAACTGCCAGAGAGAGAACCCCATCACTAGTCGGCCATGGACTGTCCTGGATAGCACCGTGGGGGACCAGCTGTACTCAATGGGATTCCCCAGGACGCAGTGTCTGAGTTAGAGATTTAGAAGCAGAAGGATTCTGAAGGTAATTTCAGGAACAAGACCTGTCAAGAAGTAAAGAAAGGAGGATGGGGTAGAGAGAGAGCTGTGCTGCTGGGAAATGGCATCAGAGACCCTGGCCAACCCCATGGAGAGTCCAGAGCTGTGGACACCCTGTGCATTGTCTCACTTAGCGGTGAGGGGCCAGCCCGTTCAGCCCTTTTGCATGGGTTACCACTGGAGGGAGGTGATGAACCATGTGATCCTGGGTGATCGCCTGACCCTGGGAGGAACTCAGCCGTGTGAGCCATCATCAACCCCCAGGCGGAGCTGTTGAATCATGGGTGCCCCTGTCCTGAAGCAGGTTCTGTGCAGTGCACCCCAGCACTGCCCCGAGCTGCAGACCAAGAGGAAGGGAGGCTACTGACTGGTGCAAGTGAGACTGCATCACTCCAGACACTTGGCTTCTTTAACAGGAGCTCCGGGGACACAGTAGGCCATTTGCAAGAATACTTTTGACCCTCAAGGAAGTAAACTGAGGTACTTAGGACTCTTGTCCTGTCCTGACCACTGCTGTTGCCAAGCCTCTTCCTACCTATCTGGTCACTTGCTGGTCCCCTGCAGACTGCTTTTTCTGTCTCTCCTTTCCTGCACCCCAGAAGCAGTGGCCTCGGCTTCCTCCCTGGCTCTTCTCATACTGACTCTTTTCCTTATCTTTTCCCATTGTCCCAAGTTCTGAAGGATACATGGGGCTCAGAGTCTGACTTCCTGCCTGCCAGCTGCTGGAGAACATTAGTTAAACATCTCAGAGTCAACTCTGCCCAAACTGACTTCCCAACATGACTTTCCAGGGCCATCCCAGCCTGGTCCTTGCCTGACCTAACCGGATCTCACTGGACCTAACCAGACCTAACTGGACTGTTCTTCGTCCCCTGCTTACTGAGACACGCTGTGTGTGTCCCTGTCTGTATCCTGTACACGCACTGTCCCTTCCACCTGTGATTCTTGTTTACCCTCTTCCACTGATCAGAACCCAGTTCACTGTCCAAATCCCAAATCAGACATCACCTTGTTAAGAAGTTTTTCCTGACTTCTGGGAGAACATGGCAGATAGATAGCAGCAGCTTCAGAGGCTCTCTGAGAAACCACACTTAAAATCCAGGAAAGGTGCCAGGCGAGAAGTCCTAAGCAAGAGGAGATATACTTTGCCAACCCAGGAACGGACTAAACTAAGAGAACCCAACTGGAAACACAATCCCGGTGATATAACAGGAACCGATAAGGTCTCAGCATGGAAGCTAGAGCCCGGACCACTGGAAACCGAGATTTGAATTTCTTGCAGCTGCTGCTGTGTCCTGATTGGCACGGCAAGGAGAGAGGCACAAAAGCTCCGAGAGTGGGAATGGAGTTGAGAGCGGGACTGGCCAGGAGCCCTGCATCGACCTGCAGTGAGTGAGCAGATCAGGGACCCTTCCATAGAGTAGGAGGCTTCAGCAAAGGACCTACTGGGACCCATCAGACTAGCCGGAACAAGACGCTGCAGTGACTTCAGCCACATATTCCCCTCTCAAGAGGGACTGTTGGGGAGTGCCTGGCTTGGGTGTTGCCACTGACTAATACCCAGTAACCTAGCCCAAACTAGGTCCCAGTGCCTGGAGGTACACCCTAGTAGTGAAGCCTTCGGTAGGTTGACCTGGATGGGCGGGCCCAGCATAGGCTGCCCAGGTCTGTGTCTCCCTAGTACACTGCAGTGGGTGGGAACACCTAGTCAGCGCAATTCAAACAAACTGTAACCAACAAAGAAAGAAACTGGGACTCCTATATACGCTTGTATAAAAGGAACAAAAACTATGGGAAGAGAGAGCAACAAGAAAGGGTCCTCGGCCCCCAATCCTGAGAAACATGCAATATCAGACACGGCACCAATAGATGTAAAGCGCTATCTCCAGAGCCTCATAGATGAGCTCAGGAATGAAGTTGTTAATGACTTGAAGCAAGATATAAGTAGAATAGTTAGAGAAATGCTAAGCACCACCCAAGAAAAAACAGATGGTGGAATGGAAGAACAGAAAAAAAGGGGATAATTATTTGATGGAGAAAATAGAGAAAACATAGAATACGTGAAGCAGGTTCAAAGAGATTACCAGGAAGATAAAAACTCTATCAAAAACTGGCATAACAGCTTGAAAGAAACTAAGGATAGATTATTTGAACTGGAGGGCAGATTTGTAATATGAGAGCATGAAATGAAAAACTTCTTAAAAATAACAAAAAAAAAAAAACACCAACAATACAAAGGCTAGAAGATGATAAGAAGATCTATAACTTAAGAATTAAGAACATAAAAGAAGAAGTAGGGACACAAACAAATGGACTACAAAAGCTATTCACAGAAATAATCCAAGAGAATTTCCCTAATTTAGCAAAAGGTAAAGATACTCAGATGTATGAGGCATACAGGACCCCAGCCACCTACAACCCAAACAGAGCTACACCCAGGCATATAATAATCAAAATTCCAGAAATCCAATATAAGAACAGAATATTAAAAGCCATCAGGGACAAGAAACAGATTACTTATAAGGGAACACTCATCAGAATTACAGTAGCCTCTCGGCACAAGCCATCAAATCACGAAGAGCATGCGGGGAAATAATTCAAGCTTTGAAAGATAATCACCTCCAGCCAACATTGATATATCCTGCACAACTGTCCCTAGAAATTGATGGAAAAACAAGGTGCTTCCAGGATAAAGAGGAACTAGGGAAATTTGCAACTACCAATTCAACTCTACAGAAAATACTGCAGGATATTCTAAAAAAGAAAAATAAAGATTTCAGAAATAGTGGCAGAGAGGCCACAATGAATGGAGCAGAAAGTGAAATGAAGAAGACAAACTGACAACAAACGACAGAAAAAGAGCTCAACAGAAATGAGGCAGAGAAGATCGGATGGTAGGAACAGCTATTTTGGAGAAAGCAAGACATCATAATATCTAGTGCTGATTTAGTATCATCTTGTTTTGAATTCCCATCAAACTTGTATTCTTCTGTCTCCATTGGTCTTAAAAGGTTGTATCTTATTGGATTTTATTATATACGATAATATAAGCAAAAACTTTTATAGACAAGGAGATCATACAGAGCCCATTGTTCATTTTCTGTTAATTGGTTCTAAATACCCTGTAATAATGTCATTCTCTTGAATGGTTTTATAGTGTCTTGATATGTTTGGTGCTACAGTATATGAAGTTACACTCAAAGATTTCAAGGAAAGAGACACTATGGTAACTATTTTTATGTCAGGATATCTTGTGGTGAAACACTATTTTGCTTAAATGGTTATGTTTTGACTTGCGCTATTCTGTTGTTATGCCCTCTTTTATCTCAATCTCCTTTTTTAATTATTTACTTTTTTCTTTTTATCTTTTTAATTAAGGGAAAAATAAATTAAAAAGCAGGATACATTATAGTAACCTACTTTGATTTCCTATTAACTTGATTTGAAATCCTGTATTGCCCTCACCATCTTGTTTTGACTGATTTTCCCCTTTTCTGCTTTGCTTGATAGTACCAAGTTCAAAAGTATAGGCAACAACTGTGAAGACAATAAGATTCATTATGACGCCCATTCTGGTTGACTATTATCTTCTTTTAAAGTCCTGTAATGTCTCCAATGCTTTGGTTTTATTCTTTACTGTTTTGTTCAATTTGACTATAACTGGCAATTCTCCTTAAAATAGCAAGAGGCAGTATGGTAACCATTGTTGATCACCTTGTATTTTGTTTTTGCATTATCTATTATGTCCATCCTTTTGATTTGACTGATTCTGTTCTGATATGTAGCATTTGGTTTTACTCTCTTCAAAAAAAGTAATAAGAACTGTGGGAGTAATAAAACCCAAAATGTGTAACTGTACAAAAGAAAAGAAAAGAAAGTGTTCTAAAGCTTATAACTGCATGTATGTGTAAGTGTATAAGATAGATAACCATATTACTGAGTTTTTTTTTTTTTGGATCATTGAACAGAACTGTTTGCACTCTCACTGTTTGAATGGCCACTTTATATGCTTTAATTTTGTAACTTGAACAACTATTTCTAAGATGAGAATATGTAATCTATTAACTAGTGATTTTTTACTGTTTATTTTTTCAATTTTATATTACTTGTACCCTTTTTCTGTTTTTTTCTTTTTCTCCTTAAATAAAAAATAAAAAAAGAAGTTTTTCCTCATCCCATAATCACATTCAATCCTACCCCCCCCCCAAAAAAAAACAGAGAAGAAAATCTCTTCCTCAGGACTGTGTTTACATTTCAAAGCCATTATTATAGTCCACCCTATAATTCAGTCAGCATATTTCCCCAAAATGAAGCCCTAACCAGAAAAAGAAGCCCTGGTATGAGTTTTCAGAATCCTCATAATATCAGCCCTGTACCCAAATGAGCCCAAGTTAAGATCACCAGACAGACAGACAGACAGATTTAGTATTTTCTTTGCAAGACACAACGGATATATTGAATTATAAAATAACAATATTAATACAGAACTAAATGTAAGTGAACATTATTGACATTACTACGTAAAATAAATGATAGCGTAAATTATAATGAAGTACTTGTAAAATACCTGCCTTCCCAGGTCCATGCCTATGTAAACAGGAACCGAGACCTGCAGCCCTGTGATAAGGATCAGATGTTATCACACCCAAACTGTGTCCTGGGATTCAGTATGAGAACCAAATGGCCCCTGTGAACTAAAGAAACGTTTTCTGAATTTTTCTGTCTGCGGTTTTTCACTGTGGCTGTGCGGCCCACCATTCTGCACCCTCTGTTGCCATCCCTGTCTCCTGACACTCAGTGAACCTTTGATTGAATGGAAACCTCTGGAAGCCCAGCATGGGAGGCACGCAGGGAAGAATCCCTGGGATGAGCTCCCTGAGGGCGGTGTCACCAGCGCCTTACATATGAGCAGGCTGCACAGACGAGAAGAGCTGACATAGGCAGGGCTCTGCTGCTGGGCCTGAGAGATGGGGTCCAGGGGTCCGTGGTTCCTCAGGAGATGGAGCTCCAAGAATTCAACGTTTGGAGAGTGATGATAAGGTGCCAGAAGACGACGACATGACTGTATTTGAAGAAATGTGGATTTGTATGCATGAATAAATGTAGATTTTGGTATATGCATAAATGTAGATTATTGTACATGAAAAAAATAAGACATTCTCTGAAAATAAAACCCTCTTGCATCTTTTGGAGCAAAAATTAATATGACTAGTTATATTTGGGAAGACATATGGTATTGAGTCTATTGTCAGTCTCAGGACTTGTACTAATGAGTAGCTTCACTTTTTTTTTTTTTGAGTCAAGGTCTCACTATATAGTGCAGCCTGGCCTTGAACTCACTTATGTAGCCCAGGATGGCCACAAACTCACAGGGATCCTGCTGCCTCAGCCTCTCTAGTGCTGAGATTACAAGCATGCACCACCACACCAGGTGTTTTTGTTTGGTTTTGTTTTTGTTTTTTTCTTTTTGAGACTGTTGCTCAGGATGGCCTTGATTTTGTGACCTTTCTGCCTGGGCCTCTCGAGTAGCTGGGATTACAAGTGTGTGCCACTTGCTGGTTGGCGTCACTCATCCTTAGATGTTTATTGCCTCATATGATAGGATTTATGTTAGGCAGGGTATACACTTAGCTGTTACAACAAAAACCAAGATTTAGTGGATCAAACAAAATAGTCTCTTTGCAGAGACACCGGCTCTTTGTAGCTTGCAGGGATGTCATCCTTTGGGGGGCTTTGTCCTCCCACAGGCCCCAGAGAGTCCCAGCAGGTGGCCACGAAGGCAGGAGGATGGTGAGAAGCTTTATAGGGAAAGGTGCCCCTCTTCAGGCCATGACCTGGATGTGTGTACATCCAGGAAATTGGTTGCATCCCCAGCTTCAGAGGATTCTGGGAAATGAGCCCTTTGCTGGTACCCTGTGCCAGGGAGAGAGAAGAGGGGACCTCAGATGCTGGCCACAGCATCAGGGCTGCTTGCTTTCTGCAGTTACATCTAAAGACATGAACCTCTTCTCCACTTACAGAAGAATGCTAGTGAATCAAGAAAGGGAAAGACAGGAGAGAAAACAGTAGACACCACTGAAACAAAATATACCTGCTGAGTGGGGAAGGAGAGGGTGAGGGACTGTGAGAAGGAGTTGGAGTGCCCTCACAGTGGGCACCCTCTCCCAAGGCTCTGGCTGTATAGGGTCCCATCTTCTCCCTACAGGATGATCCCACCTTTCCTTCCTCAGCCAGGACTCCTTCAAAGTCACTTGGACCCCCCAGAGCGTGGTAGTGTAATCCACCCAACACTCAGGAGGCTGAGGCAGAAAAATCATCATAAGTTTGAGGTCAGCCTGGGCTACATAGCAAGACTCAATCTCAAATAAATAAATAAATATAAAAATAAATAATAAAATAAAATATAAAAGCCATTTGGGGTACACAATAGGATTCCTACTTCTGATGGTTAAGCCAGTAACTGCTCCAAGTACCTAGGAACCTTAACTGTTTAGAATTCTTTCTGCCCAAGCCCTTTTAGAGCAGCTGTTTTCTCCTCTGTTTAAGAGAGGAAGATGACAGGGAAGGAGAACATAGACCCATGGGAAGGACTTACAGAGAAACCAGTAGTTCTCTGGGCTATACTCTACCCACATTATGCAAAAATAAAACGTTTTGTACCAGGAATTGAACTCAGGGCCTCATGCTTGCCAGACAGGCACTGAACTGCTGAGTTATATCCCCAGCCCACGTTATGCAAATTTGAAGGCTGTATTTACTAGTCACACGAGGAAGTCTCTGATGTTTCCTTTGTAATTTGTTCTGTCTGCCTCTCCTTCCATCTTTGCTCTACTATTTAAATTGGTGGCCCTGACTGTTGTAAGAGTTAGGCATAAGGAGGCGTGCTTCAGACCCACCCAACCCAAATAGACAAACTATAGTCCACTCAAGCAGTGGGATACTGCACAACATGGAAGCATCGATCACTGGCACGCAACACTGGAGGTTTCCCAATCGATTATGCCTGCAGAAGACAGGCACATGGTGTATGACTCCATCCACAAGCAGCTGAAGACCTGGTGAGGCTCAGCTATGCAACAGACAGCAGATCAGTGCCTGCCAGAGCTTGGAGGGAAGGGCACTGACTAATCAGAGGCACAAGGAAATGCTGGGGTATTTATTTGTCTTTTTATTGTGACAAGATACACACAGCATAGTGTGAACCATCTTCCCCCTTTTCGGTGCCGTTTTGGGGAGTACTGAGTGGATACACATCAGTACTACCCATCGCCAGCACTTCCGGTCTCCCCCAGCTGAAACTACCCGTAGCTGCTAACTTCCATTACTGGAAACTACCATTCTGTCTTGACTCTCTGTGAATTTGCCTATTGAATGTGTCCCATGTTCATGGAATTAACAGTGGACTCTCAAGTTACTACAGGCCTGACATGCAAACCACATGGATGAGGACTGGAATTTTAGGTTTAATTTATGATCAAAGTCTTGAGTGGGCACCCAAATGCTGGTCACTTGGGTGGCTGCAAGTGAAGACTCTTGATGCCAGAAAACCACACATAAGCTTATGTAAGGTTAGCCTGAGCCCAGAAGTGCATATTTGTGAATGTGATTTCAGTCAGTATTTATATGGTCACTGTGATTACTGCTATCAAAATACCCTGCAAAAAGCTAGAATAGAAGCTAAGGTGAGAAGGGAAGGAAAGAAAGAAAACAACAGAGTTAAGAAAAGACAGAAACAGACAACCTCAGGCCAATTTTGTTTTGGGTTTTCTTTTTTCTCTCTCTCTTTTTTTTTTTTTTTTTTAAGAGATAGAGCCTTACTGTGCGTTCAAGCTGGCCTGGAACTCACAGCAATCCCCTTGCCTCAGCCTTCTTGGGTGCTGAGATTACAGGCGTGCACAACACCCGGCTTTGCATCAGTTTTTAGTTCTGAAAACACTGAGGCCTAGTAACCCCGAAGCAGGTCCTAGCAGGGTGTAGACTCCACAAAGAGAAAAAAACCAGAGAGCCAGATTCCTGATATTCTAATGGTGCTTTCAAATCCAAGAGATCCGAGAGACCAGTGAGGGAAGAGGAGGATTTATTTCCAGGATTTCAGACATACACTGACCCAGCTGAACTCACATCCAAAGTGCCGGGCATTGGAACGAAGGGGAGAGGCTAGCTTTGTACACGTGACTGGGGTGGGGTTGATCTTTAGAAACTGCGGGATGGGGGGAGAGTGTAGGAACAGAAGCCAGACAAAGCAATTGATAACTCAGCTTTGAGAGAAGACAGAGCCTCATGAATCCTGGGAGAATGAGATGGCCTCAACTCTGTTCCCAGGACGCATTTGCCAATCTCATCTGGACCAAAACAAGAGGTGACAGGTGTGGAGAGGGGGCTGTGAGTGGGATTGCTCTGCAAGTTCCAATTCAACAGAAGGGAACCTCCTGCCACACAGTAACCACCTTCCACGGGTGTCTGCTCAAATGGTGCCCACAACATGACACTGTTGGTTCTGGTGAAACAGGCACATTTTATAACTTTTTGGGTGAATACACTAGAAAAAGTACCGGTTTCTGGTCAATTATGCACATTAAACCATCCTTTTTTATTATGAAAATGTTAGTTACGGGGTGTGTTGGGTGGTTCAGAATAGATTGTGAGCATTTCCATTATTTCTCATGGGAAAAATTGTCTTAACTTACAACCAACTTGAGTTACAACAAGTCCTTATGAACAAATTAAGTAGATAAGCCCAGGGTCCACTTTAAAACCATGTGGTATTTGTGTCTGCGATTGACTTGCTTCACTTAGCATAGGTCTGGAAGTTGATCTATGCTGTAGCAGGTGTTAGGATTTTCCTTCTTTGGGGGGCCACTGTTCCACAGAATATACATCCTAGCTCCTATTTATCCATCCATCCACTGAAGAACACTAGGTCATTTCCTCCTTTGGGCTACTGTAAATAATGCTCTATGAACAGAGATATATAAGTATCCGTTCAAGTCTTTGGTTTCACTTTGCTAATCTAAACTGGTAACAGCTGGGTCTTATGGTAATTTTATATTTCATCTTTTAAGAAATTGCCAAACTATGTTCCACAACAGCTACAGCATTCCGCAGCTTCATCAGCAGCCCACAAGTGTTCCTACTTCTTGATGTCTTTGCCAACACTTGCATGTATATGGTTTTTTTAGAGCGGGTTCCTAATGTCTGCGAAATGCTACCTCTTAGTGGTTTTGATCTGCATTTCCTGATCTGCATTTTGTTGAGCTCTTTTTGTGTGATTATTGGGAATTTGCACATCCCACATTTTCTTGGGAGAAATAGCTATTCCAGTCCTTTGCTCACATTTTAATTGGGTTATTTCTGTTGTTGAATTGTAGGAGTTCTTTATATATTCTGAAATAAATCCCTCAGCAGAGATGTGATTTGCAAATATTTTTATCCCACTCTCCAGTCTGCCTTTTTACTCAGTTGATAACAACCCTTAAAACATGAAAGTCTGTAATTTTGGTGAAGTCCAGTTTATCTGTTTTTCTTTTATTGCTCATGCTTTTTGAATTGTCTAAGAAATCTTTGCTAACTCTAAAGTCACGAAGCCTGTCTTAGTTACTTTTACTTTCATTCCTGAGACAAAATACCCAGTGCCCAAAGGAGGAAAGGTTTATTTAGCTCACAGTTTGTAGAGGTTTTAGTCTAAATAGGCTGGCTCCAAGGCAGGGCAGCATCACAGAGGAGAAACAGTCCATGGTGGGCAGAAGGTAGCAAACCCACGAGGGACTACCACAGGGCTTTCTATCCCTTATATCTTACCCAGGCTACTTAATCTTAGCAGCCTTGACGTAGCACAGCATTATGAATCCATCCCAGCGTCACACACTCTAGATCCAGCCACCTCTGAAAAGCCCCGCCTACGAGCATGTGAAGCGGTGGGTCTTCGCCTTTTGCAGCCTCAAACCTAAAAAAGTGAAAGACTTTGCTCAGAGGAAAAAGCTACAGAGTGCCACATTCCAGAATGGTGACAGAGGCCACAAAAGGTTCCAAAATGGCAGCAAGCACACCAGATTCCAGAATGGTAGCAGCATAGAGAAGCCTTTTCCTCACAGTCAGGTTCAGAGAGCCCAGTGATCCAGACACTCAACCCCCACAGGCCAAGAGAAAAGCCTGGCTACTGCTTCAGCTGCCAGCAGACCTTGGTGGCATCTAAGTGGCACTGATTTTAGGTGCAAGGAAAATGCACAAATTCTGAGGGTAAGATGGCTTCCACCTCAATTGCAAAAGGCCTGGGAGGCCAAGCAGCGTGCTCCTGAGGGGGCAATGTGTAAAGATGTAAGGGTGAAGCCAAAGGTGCAGTGGAGACCCCCAGAGGAAAAGCCAGAAATGTAGACCATCCAAGGAAAGCTGCAAAAATCGAGCAGAGGGGGCTTAAGAGAGATGCTGCAGAAGTTAAAATCCCCAGCGCTGTGAGGGTGGAATGACCCAAACCTTTTGTAGCTTGCAACCAAATAGCTTCAAACCTGAGCTTGGAATTCTAGGACTTAATGTTCCCCCTGCTGGATGCTGGACTTGCTTTGTTTCCAATGCTTTGTATTCCCTGTTTGTAACTTTTGGAATGATAATGTTTATCTTGTGCCTTTGCATTTTGGAAATGTTTAACCTTGTTTCATTTGTACAGGGGGTTACAGTTAAGAGTTTGCCATAGATCTTGGAGGAGACTTGGGACTTGGACTTTTCAGCAATGCTGAAACCGTTAGGACTTTGGCAACTCTTGGAGATGGACTAAATGTCTTTCGTATAAAGGATGTGCATGAGTTTTGGGGGCCATGGGTGGAATGTCATGGTTTATGTCAGTGGCCCTCAAGCCTCATGCAATTATGGACTCGACCAAATCTAGCATTTGTGATTGATTTGTTCTCTAGTACCGAGATTGGTGATGTGAGTGCTACACCCACCTAAAGGTAGAGCCAGGATATGATGTACCGACAGGAAGAAGGTCTGTCTCTCTTTTGCTGGTTTGTGCCTTGCTGTTTGCAGCAGCTGTGAATGGCGGCCCTGCCATGCCACGCTGCCTCTGAGCCAATTGAGTATGGACTGAAACTTCCAACCTGTAAGAAATAAACCTTTCCTTCCCTAACTTTGGGCATCAGGTATTTTGTCTCAACAACGAATAAAAAATGACCAACACAGGGAAAAAGGAAGGAAGAAAGATAATAGAAAAAAAACTTCCTCATGCTGGGCACAGTGTAATCCCAGGTACTTTGGAGGCTGAATTAGGAAGGATCATGAGTTCAATGCCAGACTAGGCAATTTAGCAAGACCCTGTCTCATGAGAAGAAACAGAAAGGGCTGGGAATGTATCTCAATAGTAGAACATTTGCCTAAAATCCCTGAGGGCTTGGGTTCAATCCCAGCATCTTCTCTCCAGCCAAAGTATTTGAAAAAGAGCAACCTAAAAACAGAGAGTGGATGGATCCCTGGCTCACACCCTATTAGGCCTCTACAGAACTAACATGGTAATATCAATCTCCCTTGGTTTTTTTAAAAAAAATATTTTTGAGTCAGGGTCTCACTATGGAGTTCAGGCTGCCTTTGAACACATTTTGTAGTACAGGCTGGTCTCAAACTCACAACAATCCTCCTGCCTCAGCCTCCTGAGTGCTGGGATTATAGGCCTGCATTCCCTTGGCTTTTGGACATTGTATTTTCTGACTTTTTTTTCTATTTTTTGTATCATTTTATAATTTCAAATGAATATGAGGAAAAGTGTTGCATTTGATAAGTTTTCCAAAAACTCTTAATGGAAATATGTTCAACCATAAACAATAAAACTGCCAGGAATATTGGTACACACCTGTAATCCTAGCACTCAGGAGGCTGAGGCAGGAAGATTGCTGAGTTCAAGATCAGCCTGGGCTGCATAATGAGCTCAAGAGCAAGACCCTGTCTCAAAACAAAAAAGAGATTTAAAAAATTTAAAAATAAACAAAACCTCAGCAGAACCATTATATCCTGGGCAAAGAGTCGGGCTGGTACCAAAAGCAACACACAACATAAAAAAAGAACCATACAAAGAACACAATCTGTTGGGGACTAAAAACTGCCTCTATAGGAGCTCTCTGCAGCCAGCACAGATCGAGCCGTCAGCTCCAAACCACACCAAAGCAGGTCTGACGGAAGCCAGGCAGTGATAACGGAGAAGGAGATCAGTTCTCGGTGCACACACACTGACCAGTGTTTTGGAACATTTCCCTGGCTGGTACCAGCAGGATTAGGAAATCCTTTTGGCAAAGGATAGAAATAAATGCAAATGAAACACTGCATTTTAAAATCTCCAGCCTGTCCCGGAAATGATAAAGGACTCAGTAAAAGAGCAAGGAGACAACTTTAAAACGTCATTTTTTTATGGGCTCAAAAAAAAAACCCATTCAAAATGATTTGAAGGTGACATAATAGCTATGTCTAGCATTTAGGCTCCAAAGAAGTAAAATCAAAAGAAAGAATACTTCCCTCTCCCAAGGAAAATTTCTTTAAAACCAAGCATGTTGCCAAATAGCAACCTCATACATGGTAAAAAATAATAATTGGTAACAAAATAAGATTAAAAACTGTAATAGTCTGCCCAGACCAGTCCCAGATACTGCTTAATACCCAAAATGCAAAGTAATTATGTTGTAACAAGCCTAGGCCAGTGCTATCAAATGTGTCTGTGATTAGACATCCAGTTTCATTTAGCGTTTGTTTATTTATTTATTTACTTTTGTCTTTCTGAGACAGGGTTTTGCTATTCAGTTCAGGCTGGCCTTGAGCTCACTTTGTAGCCTAGGCTGATCTCGAAATCCCAATGATCCTCCTGCCTCAGCCTCCCAAATGCTGGGATGACAGGGTGCACCACCATGCCTGACCTTTTTTAATGTTTCAAAGCTCCTTAACAGCCGGGCTGGGGCTTCTTACACAGGAACACCTTGTGCAGCACGAGTGGCTGGAGAGTACCACATTCTGTCACCAATGGCCACAGCCTACGCCAGATCTCATCTGTCCACCGAAAGCAGCAGCATGGCACCTTGAAGCTCCTCTCCCTGAAGCATATCCTGCACACGTTTGTTCCTCCCTGCATTCTTTCTGGATCGTTTCTGTCTGCCACAGAAATAAGACCTGAGATGTTTGGGAAGTGATGGCTCCAGAGAGGCCTAATTTTATCTTGACGGCCGGCATGTTCCACTAGTCAACAGCTTCCACACTGACACCAGTGATGGACATTGTGGTAGATTTTCTAGATTCTACCGCTGACCTGACTTTGGATCTTTCCAGCAGCGATCCTTAAAACAGACTTGCATGAGTCCTTGTCGTGGACTCTAGGCCTCCAGTTAGACTCGTGATGGTGGTGGTGGGGTATTGTCAGGGACTCTAGGTCTTTAGCTGGACTCATACAGGACACTGCTGTGGGATGTGGTCCTTGGCTGGATTTTCTAGGTCTTTAGTGCTGTGGACAGATTTCCCGCACTTTCTTGTATTTAACTCTGGGTGAACATCATAAAATAATATAAATTCTGTGTCCTGTATGCAGTTGTTCTTTTTGCAATCTCTGACTACGACAGACACTTAGCCCTTCTGTGCTGCTCAGAGTATGAGGATCCCCCAGATCCCACGGGTGGGAACAGCACCTCAGGGCCATAAGCCAAGTGTCATAGCAGGTTGAACACCACTGACAGTTGGAAAACCATTTCATAAATGCCAGCAGGTCCTATGCTAGCAGGAGCCAAACAGAAAAAGTAGAAAAGGGTATGGATGACTTGATCTTGCTACAGGAGGTAGAAAAAGGAACTAATTTCCATCCAAGTTCCTCGACTTGCCTGTGAATCCTTGCACAATACTGCAAAAACTAAACAATAGAAGTGGTACTGCCAGGAAAAGCTTTGTGGGGGAGAGAAAGAGAGGGCACAGTTTGCCAGGGGCGGGAAGGGGAAGCAGGACGGAAAAGCTCTGTTTCCAAGCCTGTAGTCTGCAGGCTGCAAGTATCTTGTTCCTGGGAGAAACAGAACAATAATCCTTTCTGTTCACTGTACAGAGCTTGTAGTATTCAAAAGCTTTCCCGTCGGTCTCATGTGGTGTTGATAATAACCCTGCAGGATAATTATAAGCCAAAGATGCTGAGCTTCGGAGTCAGTAAGCAGGGCTCCAACAAGGGTCAGGCCTGTGAAGGGTACAAGAGACACCGTGTCACCATCAGCAAAGCTGGATTTGGGCGTTTACACCCCACATGCCCCCAAGCTGGAAAAGGAAATTGACAATGCACAAAGCACATGAATCAGGCTTTCTGTCACTCTGCGCTGACTGACATGGGGCACAGAGCGGATGACTAAGCTCGTGTGCTTCCCTTTTGCAACAATAGCGAGCCACAGAGAACCAGGGAGCCTCCTTCCTCTCCCACGCTGCACTGTCACGCACGATGCAATCACGCTCATGCTTGCAAGCAAACATACACACTCAGGCAAGCAAGAGAATAGGAAGCTCTCAGACTGCCTTCTGCAGGGCGTCAGCAGGAGGTCTGCGGGTGCTCCAGGGACATTCACATTCCGAGTGGGCCCATTTAGAAAATAATGCAATGGTTTACAAAGTAAATAAAGCCTTACTGTCTTCACCTCTCAACCCTGCCTGGTGTGTGTTTCTAGTCTGGCCTGCAACCTCTGACACACACACACACAACATTACATGTTGTTTGAAATAAACAGTATTAACCTAACCATATCATTCTGTTTTGTTTTGAGACAGTCTCCTGCTATGTAGGCAAGGGTGACCATGATCTCTCAGTGATCCTCCTGCCTCAGCCTCTGGGTTAGCACCCAGTGCTAACCATATCATCCTGCAACTTGCTTTTCTTAAAATTTGTATAAATGCACCTCATTTTTTTTCTATTGACTACATATTGTTACAAAAGACTGAGCAATATTTATTGGTAGGATTTTTTTTTAATTTCATGTCACATCTTTTTTCTATTTGTTTGTTTGTTTGTTTGGTTGGTTGGTTGTGAGACAGAGTCTTACTATATAGCCCAGGCTGGCCTCAAACATGTAGGGAGGGATCTTCCTGCCTCAGCCTCCCAAGTGCTAGGATCATAGGTATATGCACCAGGCTCTATGTCTACTTCTTTAAATGTATGCAGTAATGATTGGATGTGTTTAAAAGTCCAGACTGTATAGAGGGGGCTAAAAGGAGAAATGAAAATCACCTACCACCCATCTGATCCACCCCTCCCATACCACTTCCACCCATCGCCTGGAAGCTTTATAAAGTTTCAGTTAGAAGTTCTATTGTGGCTTCCCACTGAATATATGCAAAACATTTACAGATCTCTCTCTCTCTCTCTCTCTCTCTCTCTCTCTCTTAAAAAACTATTTTTTAAGTTTTTTAATTTTTGAAACAAGGTATTTCTATGTAATCAGTCTGGCCTTAAACTCACTATTTAGCATAGGCTGGTTTCAAACTCAGGGTAATTCTCCTGCCTCAGCCTCCCAAGTGCTTGGATTACAGGCTTGCACCCCCAGGGCTGGTTTGCAAATCTCTTCTCTTGCCAACTATAAATATTGCCTGTTGACTCAGTCCACTGAAAAATGAGGAACATCTGGGTTAAGTTGGTCAGATCAACCCAGAACATTTATCATTCAGTTCGGAACGTTCCTCATGTACTGTTAAAAATGAGTCATCTTTGTTGTGGTGACACAGTGATTGCTAAAAACACTTTGAGGACACAAATAGGTCATTTTAGTAATGACTCGGTTTAGATCCAGAAGGGTCCCAGCATGTGGAATATCGCAGTTCACACTGTGCCGTGGCCCTTCTTCTTAATATTTTTGTTTTTGAGACAAGGTCTCACTGCACAGCCAAGGCTGGCCTCAAACTTGCTGCAACCCTTCTGCCTCAGACTCCCAAATGCTGGGATCACAGGTGTGTGCCATCACGCCTGCCCCCATGACCCTTCTGTCCCTAGTTCTGACTGATAAAACATTACCAAACCTCTCTGCAACCGTGTTTACCATCTCTTCTGCTAGAAGTAACTATTTCAGAGATCTGAAAGTGCGCCTGGTTAAACTGTGCCCTGGAAACCATTTGCAAACCACAGTGTGCTTTTGCTAATTTTGCTACCGCCCTTCCAGGCCGTGTTGCTACTTAGCTTCTGGCCTCCAAGCCATCTGCTAGATCCGAGGTTACAGTGGAGGTCAGAACACAGCAGGCAGGTGACTGACTTGTCACATATCCCAAGAATGAGCGCCCCTAAAGCAGCACGGTGGTGCACACCTGTGATCCCTACATTCAGGAGGCTAAGGCAGGAGGGTCACCCAGAGTTTGAAGCCAGCCTGGCACGCATGGTGAGACCCTGTCTCAAAAAACAACAATAAAAATAAAGTGACAGTGATAGCTGCAAGTTGGAGAAATGCAGGCCTGCTGGCTCTGAGGACCCCACTCCCTGCCTGGAACAGGACTGCTGCACCTGGCAAAGGGCTGGGATGCGATGGGAGAAGCTATGGTTGCTGGTGTCAGACAGCTAAGCTGAGGCAGGACCTGAAGCAGAAGAGTGGTGGGGAGAGGAGCTGGGATGCAGCTCACAGCTCTGGATGCCCCTCCATCAGCCTGTCCTTCCGCCGTGAGAGCACATGGCGCTGCCTGCCTCCCACAGGGTACCGCTCTCTCCCACAGCCGATCCTGCCCATGGATCGTGGCCCACCCTCCTCCAGCCTCTTGGACTGAGAGCAGGAACCCTGGGCCTTACAAATCACCCTCACTGGGGCTTGGCATTGTGGCCCCTGCCTGTAATTCCAGCACTCTGGAGGCTGTTTGAGCTCAGCCTGGAATATGTATCAAGACCCTATTTCAAAAACAAAACAAGCCCAAACACTTCACTTTGTGAGGGCGCTTCTGGTCCCCAGGGCACATCTGCCTGACCACATTTGATTGAGCAAGATACTGGTACCTTCTTCCTCACATGCACAAGCCCATCTCACGCTGCACACACACCAGGGCACATGTGCAAAAGGAAAGGAGGTCAGGCACGGTGTGCACATCTGTCATCCCACCACTAGCGAGGCAAAAGCAGGGGGATCAAACCAGGGTGAAATATGTAGTGAGACCTGTCTCACCAACAAGTGAAACAAAAACAAACAAACAAACATAAAACACAAGGGGGAAAAATCAAGTCAAGCCCTCTACATAATAAAATAGTTTTTTACTGTAATTCAGAGTGTTGTTTCGTTTGTTGAGACAAAGTCTCACTATGTGATCCAAGTGGCCTTGACCTCAGGGCCATCCTCCTGCCTCAACCTCCCAGGCCCTGGGATGACAAGCACGCGCCACCATGCCTGTCCAGCCCAATTCTGGTGGGCTACTGAAATGAGTGTTTGCTGTTTACACAAAGAACACGAAATTCAAAGGCAACATCTATGCCGGAAATCTTCTAAAATCGACTTTGATGTGTAAATGAGAAATCAGAGAACTGGGAAAAACCAACTTGTCAGGAAGGGGGCTAAAACCCGGTGCACCATGAGGAGAGGCCATGTTTCACACTAGGGCATCCCTCCCATGCACGCAAGGTCACACCTCAGTGTGCAAGAACCTCAGCACACTCCTGCCATGTCTCTGGCCAGGGCTCTGTGTCCACAGCAAGTCCCTCCCCTCAGTCTTGTTCACCCCCATCTTCCCAACACCGCCCCATCCCTGCTCCCACAAAACGCCTCTCCTCTAACTCCCCAATGCTCTATTTTCAAAAACTAAAGACAGGACCAGGTGTGGGGGTGCACATCAGTAGTCTCAGCACTCAGGAGGCTGAGGCAGGAGGATCACTAAGAATTTGAGACTGGCTTGGGCTATGTAGCAAGCCTCTGTCCCAAAAAAGAGAAAACAAAACAAATAACAAATGATGATAAAATCACAAAATGAGACAAAAATTCAAATAGCCAGTGGTGTCATCTAGCCTTCAGATAGATCAGATGCCTTGGGGGCTGCAGTAGCCAGGGGTTACAAGGAGAACAAGCACATACAGGACACAGAATTTATATTATTTTATGATGGTCACACCGAGTTAAATACAAGACAGTGCAGGAAATCTGTCCACAACACTAAAGACCTAGAAAACCCAGCCAAGGACCTGGATCCCATGGCAATAACCTGCACAAGTTCAGCTGACGACCTAGAGCCCATGACAATGCCCCCCACAAGTCCAGCTAGAGGCCTAAAGTCCATGACAAGGACTCATTTACGGATCTGCGCTGGGAAGTCCCAAAGGTCAGTGATGGAACCTGGAAAGTCTGTGCCAGGAGGGTGAAGGAGCTGTGCCAGTAGGTTGAGGGTTCTGCACTGGAGCCAAGAAGTGATGCTCAAAATAAGGACCAGAGCACCCCAAAAAAGTACTACAGGCATCCTCAGTGACCACAAGGTCCCGAGCTCCTCTGATGATCACAGCTGAGTTCATATCAGGGAAGCCAGCATGGCAAGCTCCTCCAGCGACACTCAGGGGAACCCACAATGCCCTACTCTTCCTTTCCACGTTTTCTTTTATGCTGGCAGCTCTCCCCAGGTGGGCCCTCCACGCTTAGCACATGCTGATTTAATTCAACTGGTGTTACTTGACCACAAGCTTTTAATCCATTACAGGAGCAGAGCAGCCTAGAGTTGAGCAGATAAAGGAGCTGTGACCCCAAACTTCAAGCCAGAAACTGTATGGCCAAATGGGCCGAGCCCCAACCAACTCTGTGGGGCCACAACTCAGAGTCTGCACTGAAGCCATGGGAACAGGGAAGGGTGAAGATAAAACATCTCCACTTTGAAAGGCCCAGACACTTTATTTATTTATTTATAATTTGTTTTTTGAGACAGGATTTCCCTATGTAGTACAGGCTGCCCTCAAATTCACTATGCATGGAGCATGGTGATCCTCCTGCCTCAGCCTCCCGAGTGCTGGGATTACTGGCATGCACCATCACACCAGGCTTGGCCAAGGTGCTTTAGGAGGGGTCAGTAGGAGACTTGGGCCACCAGCAGTACAGCAATATTGAGCTAGGAGGTTAGGGCACGGCAGAGCTGGCTGGAGAAGCAGGTGTGGCCTGTTTATGACAAGATCCTAGAACAGATCTGAGAGTCCCAGACTTCTCTGGAAAACTTATTTTGGCAGGGAGGGGTTGGGGAAGGGTTTCACTATGTAGT